ATTCATATGCTGAGTAGGATATTTGCTGGTTTTATCTTGAAGGTTCCTTTCAATATTTAAATACTAGATTTATTCTAGGAAACCTATACAAACCAAATTAAAAAAAATAAAACCAACTGGAATAGTTTCTGATAAAAGAACTTTGTATGTAAAGAAATCATGAGGAATGTCCTTTTGTGAATGTGAATATTCTCTTTCTGAGTTTCAGTTGGCATATTCAGTTTTCTTAGAGCGGGGCACATATCAAATTTCAAGGAATGAGGGGTTTTCAGAAAATATTGATAAAACTTTACGTATTAACTTTTATCTTAATCTGGATAGAAAGTTGGTTAATCACTAACTTCATGAGCTTTTCAAAACAAGCAAGATAAAAGACACATCTGTGACCTTTGGGAACATGCAAGACCTGGCAAGTTTGGAGAAGGGCATAGTGATGATTAAAAGTAACCTGAAACAGGCTGGGCATGGTGGCTCATGCCTATAATCCCAGCACTTTGGGAGGCCGAGGCAGGCGGGTCACGAAGTCAAGAGATCAAGACCATTCTGGTCAACATGGTGAAACCCCTGTCTCTACTAAAAATACAAAAATTACTGGGCATGGTGATGCACGCTTGTAGTCCTAGCTACTCGGGAGGCTGAGGCAAGAGAATTGCTTGAACCTGGGAGGTAGAGGTTGCAGTGAGCTGAGATCGTGCCACTGCACTCCAGCCTGGCGCCTGGTGACCGGAGCAAGACTATGTCTCAAAAAAAAGGTAGCTGAAACATTGGACCAATGAAATGAAATTGGCTTGTGGAGAACTAGCTATGGCTGCTTGATTTCAGGTCATGTACTCAAGACTTTTGACCGAGAAGCTATAGTGTACCATAGATAATTCTGCTCTGAATAGAACAGGAAGGAATTAGGAGTTAGGCAAGGGAGAAGTCAGTGTAACTTCAGTTCCATTCAGTTACTATTCACTAAATGCCTATAATGTGCTGGGAACTGTCAATACAGAGATTTTTTTTTTTTTTAAGAAAAGGTAGGGTATCTGCTTTTAAGCCGTTAACATTTAGTAGGGTTTCACAGAAGAGGAGTTTCCTGAAAGGACTGGGTCTTGAAGGGAGAAATGGAGTTTGCTAAGATGGAGATATTCTGGACCCAGGGATCAGCAGTGGCAAAGGCATAGAGGTGTGAGGTGGCATTCTGTGCTCTGAGGACTACAGAGTCAGCTTGCTGGAGCTAAGGTTCCATTCCTTGTTTATATATTATTATGATTCCTCTAGTAGGCTCACTTTTGAATTTAGACTCTCCACACCCTCCCTTTCACGCTTACTCTCTGCTGATTTCTTTGCCTTATACATTATTGAGAAATGGAAGCCATTAAACCCAAACTTCCTCAACTTCCATCCCAAGACCTTCAGACCCACTACACTAGAATTGCACCCATCTGATCCTCTTTCTTTGCTTGAGTCTCTTCATCCTGTCATAGGCCACAAGATTTCGCTTGAACCTGGGAGACAGAGGTTGCCCACAGCCAGAAGGAAATGTTACATTACATTTTCCTCCTTCCCTCCCTCCCTTCCTTCCTTCCTCCATTCCATTCTGTTACATTCCTTTTTTTTTTTTTTTGAGTTCTGTCGCCCAGGCTTGAGTGCAGTAGCATGATCTTTGCTCACTGCAACCTCTGTCTTCTGGGTTCAAGCGAATCCTCCTGCCTCAGACTCCCAAGTAGCTGGGATTACAGGTGCCCACCACCATGCCTGGCTAATTTTTGTATTTTTAGTAGAGACAGGTTTTCACTTTGTTGACCAGAGTGTTCTTGAACTCCTGACCTCAGGTGATCCACCTGCCTCAGCTTCCCAAAGTGCTGGGATTACAGGCATGAGCCATCACGCCTGGCTGGAAAGGCTACATTTCTTTAAGAGATTAGTCAAAGTAAAGATCTCATTTTTATCCCCCCAACCAAGAAAGCTCCCACAACTCTTCCTTGATACCACCACATTCCTCTCCAGAGACCACCTCATTTTACTGTTCCCCTAAAGCTAATGTCTCAAAAGAGCCACGCTGTGTCTATTTCCTTCTCCTATTCATTCTTCAATTCACTATAGTCTGACTTCACCCTCCACTTAAAACTGCTTTGTCAAGGTCAGGTCATCTGTACTCTCCATGTGCCACATCTAGTGGGTACTTGACCTTGTGACAGCATTTGACAGTTTGCTCCTCCGTCCTGGAATCTTGCTTCTGGCTCCTGTGACACCATGCTCTTCTGGTTTTCCTCTTGCATCACTGGCTGCTGCTTTCCCTTCTGTCCCTGACCTCTGAGTGATGGAGGTCTAAAGGGCATTGCCCTGTGCTCTCTTGTTTCCCTATAATTCTCTTACAGTCCCTGCCCAGGGATTTACGTGCTTTCACTGTGCTAATGATTACTCCATTTTATCTCTAGCTGGACCTCTCCACTGAACTCCAGACTCTCATATCCAGTGGCTTTCTTATTTTAGAAAATGTTATACTTAATGTGCCTAAAACAGAACTTGGATCCCCTCTATTCCCACTACATTCCTCTTTGTCCTAGTAATGGCATCTCTATCACCCAGTTATTCAGGCCAAATGCCTGGGTAATCCTTGCCCTTTCCTCTGTATCTCCCTCACTCCCACAGCAGGGCTTGTAGATTCTATTTCTATTTCAAATCTGTTCCCTCTCCATCTCTACTGGCAGACTGCCTCTGTAGACCAGGCCACCATCACCTCCTATCTGGACTATTCCGACAGCCTCCTAACTAGTGCCCACACCTCTTGCTCCTCTCTCCATCCTCGTTAATTCTGCACACTGTTGTAAGAATAATCACAAATCAAACAATTTCACTTCCCTGTTATCATTTCTGTGGATTTCCAAATTCCCTACTTTGGCCTGCCTGCCTCATCGTTTGGCCTGCCTATTTCTCCAATTTCATTTCATGTCACTCTCCCCACACCTACTGTGTTATAGAGACTCTGGTTTTATTTTACTTTCTTTTAACATACCAAGCTCCTTTCTCCCTCAGGATCTTTGCAGTTTCCTCTTTAAATGGCTAGCTCCTTTCCTCCTTTAATAAGGTCTTAGTTAGGGATCATTCCTTGACTGTTGTGCCTAAAGTAGGTTCCTCTTTAATTTAACATTATTATTATTATTTTTTTTTTTTTGAGACGGAGTTTCGCTCTTGTTACCCAGGCTGGAGTGCAATGGCGCGATCTCGGCTCACCGCAACCTCCGCCTCCTGGGTTCAGGCAATTCTCCTGCCTCAGCCTCCTGAATAGCTGGGATTACAGGCATGCGCCACCATGCCCAGCTAATTTTTGGTATTTTTAGTAGAGACGGGGTTTCACCCCGTTGACCAGGTTGGTCTCGATCTCTCGACCTTGTGATCCACCCGCCTCGGCCTCCCAAAGTGCTGGGATTACAGGCTTGAGCCACCGTGCCCGGCTTAACATTATTTTTTAATCATGCATAACTGATGTACATAGTCTCAGGGTACAAGTAATAATTTAATACATCATATAATTTGTGAAGATCAAATCAGTGTACTTGGGATATCCATCACCTTAAATATTTGTCTTTTCTTTATTCTGGAAATATTTGAATTATTCTCCTTTTGGTATTTAGAAATGTAAATACATAGTAAATTATAGTCACCCTACTCCTCTGTTTCATAATACTTGCTACATTTTGCAGTTATTTTGTGTTTACTTCTTTTTCTCCTCCACTGGAAGAATATAAACTCAGTGAGTGCAGGGACTGGGTCTGATCTGTTCACCATTATATCCCCAGTGTTTTGAAATGTCTTCCTTGGCATGTAGCAAGAAGTCATTAAATATTTATGAAATGAGGCCAGGCATGGTGGCTCACATCTGTAATCTCAGCACTTTGGGAGGCCAATGTAGGGAGGATCGAGTGGCGCCTAGGAGTTTGAGACCAGCCTGGGCAACATAACAAGGCCTCTGTCTCTACAAAAATTTTAACAAATTAGCTGGGTATGGTGGCATGCATCTATAGTCCCAGCTTACTTGGGAGGCTGAAGCAAGATTGCCTGAGCCCAGGAGTTCCAGATTACAGTAAGCTGTGATTGCACCACTGCACTCAGCCTGGGCAACAGAGTCCCTATGGGAGGGGGAAAAAAAAGTATGAAATGATAGAAGGAAAAGGGAAAGAGGAAGGAGAAATGGATTGGAGGGCTTCAGGGAGACATACATGAAAGGAGAGGGGTAAAAAAGATAGATGCTTATTGAACAACTGCTGCACTTTTTTTTTTTTTTTTTTTTTTTTTTGGACAGGGGCTCACTGGGTCACCCAGAGTGGAGTGCAATGGTGTGATCATAGCGCACTGCAGCCTCTGTCACCTGGGCTTAGGCGATCCTTCCTGTTTAGTCTTCTGAGTAGCTAGGACTACAGATGCATGCCACCATAATAGAGTGAATAAATAACTTTATTTATTTGTTTAGAAACAGGGTCTGGCTCCATCACCCAGGCTCAAGCGATCATTCTACCTCAGCCTCTGGAATAGCTGGGACTACAGGCACCTGCCACCACACCTGGCTAATTTTTGTATTTCTTGTGGAGCCATGTTGCCCAGGCTGGTCTCAAATTCTTGAGCTGAAGCAATCTGCCTACCGTGGCTTCCCAAAGTGCTAGGATTACAGATAATGAGCCACTGTGCCCAGCTAACTATGTTATTTATTTATTTTTTGTTTCTAAATTGTCTTCTTCAGTAGCATGTAAGATTCATGAGGGTAGCTTCTTTGGATTACTATATTTTCAAGAAAAATTTCTAGTTCCTAATGAGCTGATTATTTGTTGAAAAAATGGAAGAAAAGATTAATTGTTTTTTATGCTTACTTACTAAATATTTCCCTTGGATAAGATTTGCAAATCTCTGTTCTTAGGGTTTTTGAAAATTTTGAAAATAACTATTTTATAAATGTTGAAAAACCTAGTACCTATGTGACTCCATGAATTGAAACAAATTATTTCCCCTACTTCTTTTAGAACTCATCAAATTGAAGCTGTTCCAACCAGCTCTGCAAGTGATGGATTTAAGGCAAATCTCGTCTTTAAGGAGATTGAGAAGAAACTTGAAGAGGTAAGATTTATGTAAAATATTGCCAGGAAGGACCCTGAGGCTAGAGGAAGCAGACAGGTTTCAGGTGTTGCCACAAGGTGGTATAAATTGCAAATTTATGTCATGTTGTCAACTATTGAGTGTAGTTAGATTTCTGAGTGTCTGTTAAGGCTTCCTTATAATTCTGAAAGGAATGCATTTCAGAAATGTATAAATCTCCAGATTAGAGCTAAAGAACTATATGATAAATACTGTTTAAATTGTCACTCTTTTCTAGGTCCTCTTTGTCAGGGTTATTCAGTCACGGGCAAAGTTCAAATGTAAAGGGATTCTAATTTATTTTGGTGTAATTTTTTTTGAATTAAAAAGATTTTACTTAACATCATTCAAAAGAATAAATATTTAAAATGAGCCTTTTTTGTACATATTTCAAAATTCTTTGTAAAAAGAAATTGTGTTTGATTTCTTAGTTAAAATTTTTATTTTGTTTTGGCCGGGTGTGGTGGCTCAAGCCTGTAATCCCAGCACTTTGGGAGGCCGAGGCGGTTGGATCACGAGGTCGAGAGATCGAGACCATCCTGGTCAACATGGTGAAACCCCGTCTCTACTAAAAATACAAAAAAATTAGCTGAGCATGGTGGTGCGTGCCTGTAATCCCAGCTACTCAGGAGGCTGAGGCAGGAGAATTGCCTGAACCCAGGAGGCGGAGGTTGCGGTGAGCCGAGATCGCGCCATTGCACTCCAGCCTGGGTAACAAGAGCGAAACTCCGTCTCAAATTTAAAAAAAAAAAAAAAAAAAAAATTTGTTTTAAAAATTATGCTAGTTTAAAAAATTTATACTATACAGAAATATGTATATGTATAGTATACATTTTATGCTATACTTTTGTTTTAATCTTTTAAAGTTTAAAATCTCCCCAGATTCTATCACTCAGACTTTACTGAAATGTTAACAGTGATTAGCATTCTTTCAGACATCTCTTTCTGTGTATATTAACTTACAGTTTTAACCTAGTGTCGTATAATAACTGTTTGTTTTGAGACAGGGTCTTGCCCTGTCACCCAGGCTGGAGTGCAGGGGTACAATCTTAGGTCACTTCAACCTTCACCTCCCTGGTTCAAGTGATTCTCCTGCCTCAGCCTCCTGAGTAGCTGGGATTACAGGGGCCCACAACCATACCAGGCTAATTTTTGTATTTTTAGTAGAGATGGGGTTTCACCCTGTTGGCCAGGTTGGTCTTGAACTCCTGAACTCAAGTGATCTGGCCACCTTGGCCTCCCAAAGTGCTAGGATTACAGGCATGAACCATCGTGCCTGGCCACAATACCTGTTGTTTTTTATTATACTATATATGCAGATCTATTTTTATGTACAGTAATTAGTTCTTGATAGATAATAACCATACTAAGGCAATCTAACAATAACTCTCCAGAAAGAGAGTTATTCTCTTCAGGCAAAATATATATTTATTTCATTGTTTTAAACTTAGAAGCATCTTGGAATTTCTTTCTTTCTTTTTTGAAACAATCTCGCTCTGTCACCCAGAATGGAGTACAGTGGCATGATCTTGGCTCACTGCAGCTTTGAGCCCCTGGGCTCAAGTGATCCTTCTACATTGACCTCCCAAAGTGTTGGGATTACAAGCGTGAATCTCTGCCCAGATGTATTTCATAATTGATATAGATTTGAGACCATACAAGGCATGGTTACAGCCACAATCACAATGCAAATTACTCATCTATTAAGGTGATCAAAGTGGGCTGAAATAAATAGAATGTTTAAACTGTATTTCACTCACGGTAGAGCCATGGTATGAAAGGCAAATGTTGTGCTTATCTCATAACCCTTATTGCAGAGCAGAGGACTTTTAACATCTGAGATGATTGCACTGTGGATGAGAATAAGGTGGTATAACTGATGTGTCTTGTCAAAGGACCCAACATTTCCAGAACTTTCATTATACTCTATAACCGTCCTGAGGGAGAGCAGGGCCAGGCATTGGCCCAGAAGCTACAGACCTGTCCTGCAGCCATCTTGGGATGCATGTGCATGGGGCTACCTGTTTTATAACCTATGTTTTTCTTTTGACAGTATGTTCCATGGCCATAAATCTAAATCCTTACCCTCATTTTTAATACATAGTATGCATTCATATGTATTTGTCTTAATTTAAGTAGCCTCCTATGATGAATATCAGGTTTATTTAACATTTTCAAGTAAAACAGTGCTGAGCTAAATTTCCTTTTGCACTCAATCTTTAAGTATTTAAACTAGGATCAATTTAATAGAAATAAAGGAGGAAAATTGTTGGGTGGTTGGATATATGCATTTTGCGTGTTGATACATATTGCCAAACTACCTACCAGAAAGAGGGTACTAATTTACAAACATTACCAATTCATGAGAATGATTCTTTTTTCATTTTAAAAAATTTATTTTTATTTTTGTAAAGATGGGGTAACTATATTTTTGTAAAGATAGGGTAACTCTCCAACATTGTTGGAGAGTAACTATGTTTTCTTTATACCTCTGATACTGTGTTGGCTAGTTTTTTAAAAACCTTTGGCCTGGGCATGGTGGCTCACACCTGTAATCCCAGCATTTTGGGAGGCTGAGGTGGGTGGATCCCTTGATATCAGGAGTTCAAGAGCAAACTTGCCAACATAGCAAAACCCTGTGTCTACTAAAAATACAAGAATTTGCCAGACATGATGGTACATGCCTGTAGTCTCAGCTACTAGGGAGGCTGAGGCAGGAGAATCTCTTAAACCTGGGAGGCGGAGGTTGCAGTGAGCTGAGACTGCACCACTGCACTCCAGCCTGGGTGACAGAGCGAGACTCCACCTCAAAAATTAAAATTAAAAATAAATAAATAAATAAAGTCTTTGCTAACCTAGTAGAAAAAAATTTCTCATTGTTTCTTGAATTTTTTTCATTACATGTATTCCTATAAAATAAAGTTGCATTCTATAAAGTCTTAGCTTAAAAGTTTTGGTTTTTTAAAATGCTGCCAATGTATTCCTGCAGAACACATAGGATAGTTGTATCCTGACAAGTTACTTCATTTATTTCAACCCTATTCCATCTAAAAAAAAAAGTCAAATAAATTAACGTAGAGATTATCTACTATGAAGTGTGAGGTATGGCAGCATATCAGTCATTGAATACTTACTTCATTACTGGAATTAACAAAGCAGTGTGGTGTTTATTTTACAGTATTCTTTTAGCTTTGCAAATGTATGCCTCTTGCTCCATTTTAATTCTTTTCTTCCTAACCTCCCTACCAACCTTGTTCCCTTGTTTTTTTTCTCCTTCCCACGATTGTTAGTTTCCTAAGTGTTTGCAGCTCTAGCAAGTAAAAGTCTGGGAATCTTTTGTCAATTCATGAATTTTCTGTATTACTAAAGGCAGCCTAGCAAAAGATTTTATTTCCACTTCTGTCTTTGTTAGCAATTCTCCATTGCCCTTCTTTGAATTCTGTCTTAATTTTTTTGTCCCTATTAAGTTTGCGACAGGACCTACTCCTTAACCTTTTGCCTACTCAGAAAGAAGTACTTTTCTTCAAGTAAGGAGGCACTCAGAACTTTCTTAATACTAATGATCTCCAGTTTCACAATTGTATTTTATTTTCCCTTTTAACTCTCTCTCCTCATCAGTTTCCTTACCCTCTCTCACTCCCACTTCAATTGAAAATGTTTTATTGTCGAAGGGATGTGATTTTATAAGAGGATCAGTTGTTTCTGAAAAGTAACAGCAAGTGCAAATTATTCTCTATCTATTTTAAGGAGGTAGGAGGATAAGTAGTAAGGTTATAGGAATTTCTCTTCAAGTGTGCAGGTAGAATTTCTAAATGTTTGCTGGTGTTTTCCTGCTGTAATTTGTTGGTGTCTGCACATAGCTCTATTCATGAGGCATTGTGCAAGCAGATGGCATAGATACACCTGGAAATAGTCATTCATGGACCACTGGCCGTAGAGGAAGCCTACCTCTCAGATGGCCTAGCACGCTAATGTTATTAACCCCTTCTCATAGATTATTTTCATAGAAACTTGAGAGATAAAAGATTTTAAGGAATGTGAAGAAGACTTTGAACTTTATTTTAATTCATTTTTTGGTGGCAAATACAGCTCCACTGTCATCGGCTAAAGTTTAGAAATGTTGATGTGACCTACAGTTTGACTGTGGTATGGTTAAGTGGAAATAGCATTGAATTTGGGATTAAAGCAACCTGGGATTGAGTTCTGGTTGTAATACCCACTAGCCATATATCCCTGCCCCTCAGGGAACACAGAGAGACGTGGAAAATTATTTCTAGAAGAAAAAAAGTAACATGGGTTTATGTGCAGAGGGCCATCAAAGTATGGTGGAGACAGAGACTCCTTCCCAAAAGAGTTAGCATGTGAGACTTGATTGATGAGGTCAGGGTGGGAGTGGGGGCTTAGAAGAAGTGATTGTCCTAGGATGGGGCAGGAGTAAAGGCATGGAGGCGTACAAGCACTTGGCACATAAGTTCAACATGCTCAGTATTGTTGGAACATAAGAGGAAGAGGAAGAGAAAGTGGTTGGAGGTAAGAATAGACAAATATCTTTCAGATCACGAAGACTCTTGGATAATATGTCTTTATCCTGTTGGCTGTGGGGAGTCACTAAGAAGTTGAAGCCTGAGAATGACAGACGGATATGTTAGTTAGGTGGACTACTTGGCAGCAGCATAGAGGAGAAGCATTCTTAATCTTTATGACCCTCAATTGCTTTTTCTGCTTAATGAGCTAATATTAGTGTCTGCCCAACTATTTGTATAGCCTTGTGAAGATTAAAGAAATTATATATATAAAAATATTAGAAACTTGAAAGCCTCTCAAAATATTAGTATTGTTGTTGGTAATTTTTTCTACAGTTAACTTACATTAATTTAAGTGAGCTCTTTTGAGGGAAGTCAACATAAGAGAATTTCTTTTTCACTTAAAAGAAAAGCCTGACAGTAATTTTGGTTTCTTGGTTTAACTAGAAAAGATTGGTA